TTTCATGTGTCTATGTTGAGGCGATACCGTCCAGATCCAGATCACATCATTCAAGTTGATGAGGTAGAGTTGAGGCCTGATTTGTCATATGAGGAGGAGCCTGTTTAGGTTTTAGAGAGAGATGAACGAGTTCTTCGGAATAGGCGAATTCCAATGGTTAAAATTCGGTAGAGTAATCGTAGTCCCTCAGAAGCTACTTGGGAGACATTGGAGTCAATGGAGGCTCAATTTCCTCATCTATTTGCATAAGGTAAATTTCGAGGACGAAATTTCTTGTAGAGGGGGAGAATTGTAACAACCCGGAAATTTGAAAAAAAATATAATTGTAATTTGAGGTTTTAATTAAGAAATTTGGAGAAATTTGGGGACTAAATTAAAAGATTTTAAAAATTTGTAGCTTATTTTAGAGTTAAAGAAAATTCAGGGACCAAGCCCTGAATTTACCCAAAAAAGGTTGGTGAAGTTTGGTATTATATACGGCAATTGGTTTCTGAAAAAATCAGAAACCAATTGCTCCTAAATTGAGCCAAAATCCTATCTCCCAACCTCAACTTCCGACAACGATCCCGACGCCGTCCGAATTCCGATCGTCGTTTTGAAACCACCATCGTGTTTGTTATCGAGTGAGGAACAATTCCCTTAAATTAATTGAAGTGAAACGCTGCCAAACATTGGGAATTTCAAGTAAAAGTCTCGACGTTTTTTTTAGCTCCATCGCCGAGGAAATCTTAAATTCATCGCCGATCGTTGCTCCGTTTACGACACCTCCGGCACCATCGTGTTTCTTGTGCCGTTCCGAGTCCACCGGTGTCCTCCTTTTTCTCGGCGGCGGCGGCGCGTGTGGTGGTGATGCGGTCAAAGTTTTCGATTTGATGAAATCGAGCTCTCTGTCGTTCAAACATTTGAACCGAGCTTTATAAGTATCTCGAAATCGCTCAAAATAATTTTTAGAAATTTTTCCGTGAATTTTACGCTGCTGGAAGACGTCCCACGTGCCCCACTGCCTCGTGGGGAAGGTCGAAATGACCGGTTTGATTGGTTCCGACCTGACCCGTTGACCGACCCGACCCGACCCGTTGACTGTTGACCGTTGATTGGGTGACATTTTAGGAATTAATTCGAAATGGGTGTTATTTTGGGAATTAATTCAAAAAGGTGCTATTTTGGGAATTTAATTCTAAAAAGTGCTATTTTGGGAATTTAATTTGAAAAGTGCTATTTTGGAAATTAATTCAAAAATGGTGCTATTTTGGTAATTATTAAAAAAAGGTGTTATTTCTGTAAAATAGTTGACATTTTGTTGACCTCTTTTGACCATAACTTTGACCGGCTTTGACCGGCCATTAAACAACCGTTAATATTTTCCGAGAATACCTATCCTGACATTTTTCGACGTCCCAAATTCGTTTTTGAGGTCGGCTTCACAAAATTCAAACCCGAAAGTCTCCGAATCATTAGTTAAACCCGTTGACTTTGATTTTGACCAAGAATTCAAATTTTTGGAAAATCATACTTTATGTTTTTCGATATCCTGAATCTGATTCCGAAGTCCGTTTTGTCAAATTATGACCTGAAATTCCTGAATCGAGCTTGTAAACCCAAAAGGCTTAATATTTCAATATTTTGATTATTTATTTGAGATTTGGTTAATGAATTGATTCAATAAAATATTTCATGAAGATACTCGTGTTTCACCTGAACGAGGATCAGTTAGGTCTGGAGTTGTTCGTTCGTCAGATCAGCCTGAGTCGCGCACTTCAAGAATTACCCGTAGGTTTCCGTATATTATTTAAATAAAGATTATTTATATTAGGATTCCAATATGGATTTTTCCAATTCGTAGGATCTAGCACTGCAGCAGAGCGTGATCGACAAACCCAGTGATAGGCTTCCCTATCTGATTTCTCAGACTGTTACAGGTGTGTTTCCTGACAGTGTTATCATACTGTTTTAAACTATCATATGAATAGTTATCTGATCTGTTACCTGACCTGAATTTTTATATGCTACTTGACATGGATTCTGATATGTTACCTGACCTGAATTTTTATATGCTACTTGACATGGATTCTGATCTGTTACCTGACCTGAATTATGTTTTAATTTTTGAAATATATATTCGTTATGAGCGGAACATGATTTATTTGGGGGTAATGATGGAGGAAGTATATCTGGAGGCTCCTCTGCTGTGTGCTCAGGGCCTTGCTGGACTTGTTGGTGGGTGTATGGTTCTGGGGAACCTACACATTTTGGACTTGACAGATGGGGGTAGTGTTCATATTTTAAAACATGTTTGATAATCGGTTTTACTGGAAATTTTTATTCGTATGTTTTTAATACACTGTTTGGAGCACACTGGGCTTTCTAGCTCATTCTGTAGTTTTTACCCTTTTTCAGATAACAGCATACCGTAAGCTAGCAGATTTGGCATCATGAGAGATCAACTACTTATTTTGTATGAACGTATATCTCTATAAGTTTTTCGGTTATGTTTGGTGACATGTATTGCTATCGTTTTGGATATATTTGTATTATTAATATTTTGTTTTGTATTAATATTGTAAGATATATATATATATATATATATATAAACTCTGAATGAGATATGTGATCACTTAGGTTTGGGTCTAACTTACAGACCGGGTCTGGAAGGTTACAATGATACTCTAAACCCAAATGGTTTACCCAAAACTACTAACATGATTTTCCTTGTGTTACATTGGGTTTATGTGATCTTAAGCTTTTTTAACATCGACTTACTTGGGAAACAAGTGCGGGTTTATCTCTAATCCAAGATCTCTCCTCTATAAAGTCTTCCGAGCAAAGTATTTTGCTAAATCCTCTTTTCTCGATGCGGAACTTGGACTTAAAGCCTCGTATGCGTGGATTAGTATTTACAAGGCTAAGGTGGCATTTAAAGATGGGATCTTTTGGAGAGTTGGTTTGAACAGCCCTCACGCATGCATTTTGATAGGCGGAGAGGCTCTGAAAGGGTAAACGTATCTGGCCCATATTTTGATGGTGTGCTCCAACCCACTCGATGTGAGACTTTATGGTACCGGATTCCATGGGGTGGGATGTTGATAAGGTCTGCATAGCTTTTACCCCCCAAGATGCAAACATGATTCTGGACACTTATAACTCCCCAAGAAGGTAACAAACTCATTTGGGAACACCACAACTCGGGGCTCTATTCTACAAAGTCGGGATACATTTGGTTGCTTATGGGAGCCAGGACAGAGAAGGGCCGATCACCAATCTGGAAATCGATCTCAAAGATCCAATTGCTTCTGATGATTAAAATATTTGGATGAAGCGTCTGCCATGATGCTCTCCCCATCGGTAATAAGATTGCATCAGCTGGCCTAGGAAGTGAGGTTTGTCTGATGTGTAACAATGAGATTGAAACAGTCTTGCATGCTTTAAAGGACTGTCCGACGACCAAAGAAGTGTTCCTCCTCTTGATTTTGGATCGAAGTTTTGTCGATTCTCAAGCACTCAACTATAAAAGCTGGCTTGAAGACCTAGAGCCCTCCTTGGATCGAGTTGGTTTCACAAAGCTCATTGTCCTCCTTTGGAATATTTGCAATAGACGTAAAAAATGGGTTCATGACCAAGAGCTTCAAAAGGCTAGTGAAGTTGTTAACGCCGCATAGATTTTGTGTTCTGATTTTAACAAGGTTGTGGGGTCTACAAGAGCTCTTTCGCAATCACATCCAGCAAAGGGAAATTTCTGGAGCAAACCAGGAGCTAATCTCATAAAATTAACGTGTATGGGGATTACTTACCTAGCACAGGTGAGGCAACAATTGGTGTTGTTGCAAGAGACCAATACGGTATGAACGTGGAAAGAGTAGCTCGAAAGTTAGATGGTCCACATTCTACTGAATTAACCGAAGCGATTGCGTTCATCAAGGGACTTCGCATGGCAACCGAAAATAGATGGGGTCACACAATCATCGAAGGAGATGCCATTACAATTGTCAACATATTGGTAAATTTACAATTGTCAACAATGTTAGAGGGACCTTACAATCTTAAGGCACACTACGTGAGCAGAGAAGCGAATAGGGTGACACACACTTGCACTATGGGCTTTGTCGAGAATCAATCCTTTTTTATTTTGTTATGACAAACAGGATTGTATTTAAAACGTTGTCATTCTTGACGTCATTGCCATTTAAATGAATATTTATAGTTCATAAAAAAAATCAATACAAACTATGGAGTTTATCCACCACTGCTCCCATTTTACTATCGATAGAAACCAATACGCATAACTGTGAGCTTCCTTTCTCTCTCTCTGTGTGTCTTCCTACAAGTTACACAACGCACTCATCCAAATATCCTTCTCCAATTTTGGTATAACCTCCAAAAATAAAAAAGATGCACCTCATTACTACACTCCTGCAACTTTCAGCGGGTCCTAGATGAACCCGACAGATTTCTCAATTCATCAGAATTTAAACCATGGCGTTGAGAAAAAAAAATGCAAATCCTTGGTTGAAGAATGAGGAAATCAATCATTGTCCTTTACAGAAAGGCCATTATTAGATGATCGCTTGCTAGGTCAATGTGTATATGTTTCAGCAACATCAACTTCAACATGTTCTGTATCCATCAATGATGGCATCTTATAAACAATAAAAGGAATTTCATACAACCATGAAAGACAATAGATAAGGGAAAAGGATAAAAATTGAATCAACCGCTGAAATAACAATACCAAGGGCATTAAAGTTTTAGTACATGTAGCATCATCCAAAGAAAGAAGGATGAACACGCAAAAATGAAAGAAAGAAAGGAGCCACCTAAATTTATTGCATTCCTGTTCATCTCGAATCCAAATATTGCTGTGGTTCTATGCAGCAAGCACTATTAGTAAAGTGTAGAGGCAAGCAATTGATACATTCTGTCTATTCAACTTCCTTACAAAAACAGTAATGAGCAAAGTGATAAATGGGTAAAGTCGTTCCTAATTACCTATAAAAGAGAATTACTAATCCTATCTCAGCTATTAACTTCAATCCTTGAAGCCACCTGTTACAAGAACAGGATTTGAACATTATGATTGCATGACTTTGCTTTGTTTGATACATGCAGGGACCTTGAAATACTGGCATTTCAGCATTGATGAACCTTCCATTGAAATAACACCATCATTGGAGGGTTCCAAGGTAAAATAGGTCTTAACAGCAGCAGCTGAATTATCCATGTTCTTTTCGGTCAGTGGAGAGCTCTTACTAATCATGTCTTCGTTTGGATTCACTCAATCTCTAAAGGAACAAACGCTCAGGGGCAGCTTCTTTATCTTCATTCTTCCCCTCTTTTTACCAGTGGTTACATCCTCAAAAGCTTTTTCCTTCGAATGGCTTGATCTTGCTTCACCATTATCCAACTCTAATTGCCCAGATTTTTCATATTTAGCATCCTTTGCCTCTGCTTTAACAGATTCCTCCATGGAGTCCTCAGAATCAATTTCTCCTGCCATAGTATCTCCATTGTATGCAGAAGACGGGCTTCCACCCAATACTATAGCTCCATTGGAAGCTTTTGTTTTCTCAAGAGTTGCCATGATCTTAGGCCTCTTATGTTTATGACCTCTCCATTCAGAAGGTGAATTCTTTGAGATTCTTGGGGAACTATTGATGGCTCGGTGCAATTTCCGGGCTAGCTCTTCATCTGTCCTAGGACTCTCAACCGGCTCGTGTTTTTTGTACAGGAGTTGAACAGGGACATGTTTCTTGAGCTTGTTCTTTTTTAGGCGTCTGTCTCTGTCTTCAGAAAATTTTGCTACTATGTCCAATGCACTCTTAGCTGCAGCAACAGCTTTAGTGGCAACTGCAGCCTTCTTCTCTGCGGCAGCTCTGGCAGCCACTGCAGCTTTAACAGCAAAGGTAGCTGCCGCTCTAGAGGACTCCAAAATCTCCTCAGGAGAAAGGTTTGGGTTGTACAAATGAGAACTCATCAATAGATTCTTAAGATGGGTATTAACATCGCATGACGAAGTCGAAGTAGAAGGTGAAGGTGAAGGTGAAGGTGAAGAGGAAGAAGCAACCGTAGGCTGATCTGAAGCACCATTGGCATTAGAAGCCTGTTTCTTAAATCCCGCCAGCAGCCGTTTCCGAGGAGGCAGGAGGACATCGGCATCCAAGTGATTGATGTCACAAATGTTAGACTCCATTGACATCCCTTCTCCAATTTATCAAAATCTGAAACATCAAAGCAGAAGTAATTGTCAAATATAGATAATCTGAAAGTTATAATCACATCCAAGCTAAAACATCAATAATCATAGATTCCAGAACAATATCTGAATTCTAAGCGCCGTCATAATAATAGTAAATATCCATCAAATTTAGAAAGAAAAAACGTACAGATTTGGAAAGTAGCATAAATTCAAGCGTTCTAGTACATGAATCGGAATTGAAAGATGTTTCACATGCCGTAAATGAGACAAAGAACGAAACTTTGAAAACCCTACCGGCAAATTCGGTTATATAAGAGCTTCCGGTATAAATCAAAAGAATATCAAAGATAGGAAGTCAACAAAAAGATGATCATGCAATGAAAAATGATTTGCCAAGTTTAAAGATTATATCGGGAAACAGATGCTACGAATGAGAGCAACAAAACTAAAACGTTAAAAAAACTGGCCGATTGATAAAATAAAAATAGAGAATTACAGGGACGTGGAGCGAAAAATGCAAAGCAGAAGCTTTGATTGAATGAAATCATGAGATGCACATGAAAACTGAGTGAATTACAAAAGAAAAAAAGGATGGAACTTTGATTCAATACCTGATCATTACGCGGGGGGTTTGCAGCTTGGATAAAGAGTCTGTTTGGATTGGATTGCAAACAGAGAGATGATTTAAGCGATTTGAGAAGAAGGAAAATTAGGGGTTTTTTGTTGGTTGATAATTTTATTTATACAAATTACATTTGTGCGAGTTTTGAAGATGGGAGTGAGAGATTGGGTCCAGTGTAGGAAACAAGGAAAAGGAAGATCTTGTGTCGTCTTACTAAGTACTATGTTAATCAAATTAATTAACTAAAATTACATAACAGTAATATTTATACTCCCATATCCACGTGTTAATATCCTTTATAGAGAGATAAAAATCTTTATTTTGAAAAGACCAATTTACTCTTACTTTATTAAATATTTACTAAACAAGCTTTCATAAAATATTTTCAATTAAGTCCTTAAATTTTTCAAAATTTTTAAAATTGATCACCAAATTTTAAAAACTTTCATTTCATCACTAACCCAGTTTTTGAGATGTTACAAATCTCCCCCATTTAAAGAAAATTCGTCCTCGAATTTTCACTGCACCTATAAATGAAGATATTGTCTATCCATATCATATTCATTTTCTCTTGTTGCTTCCATTACTTTAACCCTTCGCAGTTGCAATTTATAATTTGTCTTCAATTTTCAAAGAACTCAATCGTTTCCTATCTTTTCACTCCTTCGATTCTATACTTACTTTTTATCTTCAAAAATATATATCATGTCACTTATCATGTAGACAGTAACATCAATTCTTATCACTCAAGATCATAACTCAATTGATTTCCTTTATCAATCTCTAATTGCCTTACCAATCCTTAATTCTATTATCATTTCACAATAACACTTCTGTCCTTCATAACTTGATTAAAGAGAATATAATCATTCAATTGTATCTTAAACTTCCTTAATACCTATAAATAATTCCCTATTTCCCCGATTACATCTACTTATCCAAGAAACACAACCTTAAACCTTCATCAAATATAATTAAGACATATATTTTACAAAATTAAACAATCTCTTAATATAACCTTACATACTTTTCTTACTTCTGTATCATGCTTAAAATCTATACCTCAATATAATCATTTCCTAATTGATCCTTTAGACTCATCTTTCACTTTCCTTATCCATTTATTCTTTCAGAAATCAAGAACTCCTTGTAACATAGGTCATACTTTTTTCTTCATACTCCCATACTCTCTTCATATCACCTATACTTATCTCTGATTACTAATCTTTATAATATCTTCAAGACTTTGATAAACAATTCTTCTTGCACAATAACCTTATTATTGCAAAATCCTTATTCGAATTACAATACATATACCTTTTTATCATCTTAAACTTTTCTACTACATCCTTAGCTTCCTTCATATATATGAATCCTTGTCTCCTTCAACTACATCACATTTACATAATCAAAGTACACCATCATATCCAAATCCACGTCATACCTGGTTAGCTTAACCTGACATATTTTCTAATCCTTTAACTCCAATATACTTACCATTACCTAACCTTGTTAGTCATCACCAACTCTTTTAATCTAGGATGCAAACCCTTATCAAGCCAATCATATACATCCATTTTTCAGTCAAAATTTCTCAGCGGTATTTTATTCAACTTATCAAACCCGCACTCTTACTTATACATGATGCAATTCCTTGGATTCAAACTCAAACACTCTAACTTCCTTTGTCTTATAAACTGATCACTGATGTAACCATTCTTGAACTTTTCTAAAAACAATAACCATATCACTTTATCTTTTAATATTCTCATAATAACATTTATCCACTCTATTCTAGCTTATTAGCATAACAAAGGAACTACTTCACTTCAGAACAATGAAGATCCTCTAACACTATTCGGATGCGTTTTTAATATACTGAAAACAATCCTTGATCTGGTAATAACACTTCCTGCAGTGTTCGTTCTTCATCCTGCCTGGCTAGGACATGTGAATTGCTGCCACCATCAGGTCTATTACCTCTCGCTTCAATTCAAAAACTCTCATGGTTAGACATCTCATATAACATAACAATTCTATTCTATTAGTAATACAACATACTCCTTACACTATCAGATTAGAAATTTTCACTTTGTGTTGGCAAGTACACATTTTAAAACTCCTTTTACTTCGGTTTAAGCCTAGAATCGGCTAAACCATAGCTTTGATACCATTAAATGTAATACCCCAACCCATACCCAACCTGAATACGAGTCTGAGGTGTTACATTGATTTTTTAAAACATTTACATTTACAAAAGAATAGAAATTCTAATTTTTATCAAATCAAAGTGCATAATTTATACAATTTAAATCAAAAGGTTTACAAAACTTATCAGAGCGTATACAATTCAAACATTTAATTACATGCCAACTACATTCCATACAACAAAATATATTTTATTCAAATACTTCTCTGATCTGATCTTTGGAAAGAGTAGCTGACCTGATTTGCCTATCCAAGTTCCTCTTCTTGCTCACAAAACCAACGTGTGAAGCACTCACACGCTAAGTCTATAACTTAGTGAGGCATTTAAACTTATAATGGAAACTCTAACTACTTAACAATGCATGAATAATTAATACAATGGTATCACACAAAATCATATAACATTTCATATAATAATTGTATACATATATATATCTTGTCATTATCATCGTTAACCTCATTTCATTATCAATATTATATTCATTCATATCTTTTAATCATATACTTTTGTACTTGACATTCATACACTTCAAATAAAACATTTCACAAAGCCACACATAACACTACATACTCTTTATTTATTTTATATCTTTTAATAGCCCATGTACATTTTTTAGAACTAAATATATGTGAGTACATTGAGGTTGTGCACATATGCTGTCACCACAGCTCGTATAAATTCCCACTAGGGGCACATAGAATTTGTCCCGAATGACCACATAGATGTCCGAAGGACCACATATATGTCCCGAATGACTACTCCTTAAGGATCACATATATATTCCAAATGACCAAATATGTGTCCTGAAGAACTGCATATATGTTCCAAAGGATTACATATATATCTCGAATGACCACATAGAACCATCGACTCTTGGCATGCCAACTATATCCCTAGCTCTCATATCATATAACATGGGCATTATCATTTATGTCATTTCACATATCTATATAAGCACATAGTTCACTTACACATAGAACATTTTCATATGATTCACATTCACATTTCACATGGCTTATATCTTGTGATCATGTAATCACATAGCTTATTTTCACATAGCTCATAGTCACATGGCTTATCTCATAAGCATATATTCGCATATTTGATAATCACATAGATTATACCATTTCACACATAATCACATAACGTGTATTCACACTGATCATATAACATATACAATAGCATATAACACATATACTCATATCAAACACATGTTTATATTCATGAGTTCATGCATTCTAATATAGGAAATAGACTCGTCACAGTCTTATATCCATTAAACATCATAAATAAACTAGTATGCACTCACCTTAGCCTTACTAATCCAAGTCATGCACTTAACTCTTTCTTGCTCGATCTTATCGCGTGGACTCATCAGATACTCACTTACGATTGATATCTACACAATTATACAACTTATATGAATATTTGAATTTGAATCGCTTATAACCAATCAATATAACGTAGGCTGAAAGAATAACTAAATTTAGCATTTTAAGCTCAATAGTATCGGTACTCTTACTATAGTACCGATACTACCCTCTTATGGTATTGATACCCTCCCTAGGTACCGATACCATTTTGACATTCTGCTTTATAACTTAATAATGGTATCGATACTAGACACTTAGTATCAATACCCTCTTCAACTAGTACTGATACCACTCTTCAGGTATCAATACTTCTTAAATATTTTATCGAATTATATCATATGGTATCGATATTGTTCCTTCAGTACCGACACCATAAGCTCAATTTACACTCTTTTAGCTTTGAAGTATCGATATTGGATGAATAGTACGATACCCTATGCCTAGGACTTAATTATTTCACCCGAAAATTTTCCAAAACTTACTTAATTCCCACTCTACTAACTTCTTTCAATTCCTTAAACTCAAATATACTTATTTAAATCATCTTATATCACTTTAACACATTTAAACATCTAATATCTTATTAGAACACTTAAAACTAAAAATCTTACAATTACTCAACATGTTCCAAATTCAATTCTAACACTTGGAATTTATTATTTCAGTTCATGACAAGTCAATTCAGCTTATAAATCCATTAACTCATTCTTTTTCAATAATTCACTTAAAAACTCGTTTTACTTAATCTCTCATAATTCATCCACCTTTGAGTTTTCACTTCTCCTAAAGCTTCCTTATGTTTTCTTAATACCCAAAGAATCAAAACTCATCTCAAATTATAAGAAATAACCAGTTTGAGTATTCCTTACCTTAGCTATGAAGACACAATAAGGGAAGAAGATAACCAAGTTCCAGACTTTTCTTATTCCCTTTCTCTCATTTCTACGTGTTTAATATCCTTTATAAAGGGAATATAAAAATCCTTCATTTGAAAATACCAATTTACCCTTACTTCATTTAATATTTACTAAACAAACCTTCATAAAATATTCTCAATTAAGTCATTGAACTTTTCAATTTTTCCAAAATTGATTACCAAATTTTAAAAACTTTCATTTCAATCACTAGCCTTGTTTTTGGGATATTACACATATACCTCGAGTACTAGGTCATTAAATCACATTTCATAATTTTGAACCGACTGATATGGGAGTCATGTGAGCCATTAGCTAGAGCCTAAATCAGTGTTGCAATCTACTAACAGTGAAGATTTCAGGTATTTGAAAAACAACACTGAATAACAATATTATTTTTATAATATATTTGTGAACAATACTGCATTCGAGTTGAAAGTGCCAACTACTTTCATATATGGGACTGAAGATTGGATGGACCGCCAAGGAGTCAAAGCAGTTTGCAAGTAAATGAATGTTGCATGTGAAATTATCAGGGTTCTTAGATCTGTTTACTTTTGCAATATATAAGAAATAACTTGGGGGCAATCTACCAGAGATGTTTTTTCCTCAAGAGCT